TATAATCAACATACTTCACAGACACTATCAGCAATACATTGTGTCATACTACATTCTACTTCAGATATTCAGCAATTAATTTTACACTTTCCCTTAGCAATTCATACTACGTTCCCCCAATCAATTATGCTTACGGTGAGGAGTGTGATCTCAGAGCACCATAGGCAATGGTAGCATGCTTTATATGATATATTCCCCAACAGGCATTCCCATGTTTGTATATATTTTAGGTAATGTATTGCATAATTCTCTTTCCTACGTAACACTACGTGAAAGAATCCATGTATCATATGTATATTACAGAACAACTAAGAGCATTTGTTTCTGGATTTATAAGCCTCAAATAATTTCTTAGTGAAGCCTCTTGAAGTGGAAAATACATTAACATAATCCTACACTAGGCGAGTTATTCTTGGCATGTTACCTCATAATCCCCATTGCCTCAAGTCGGTGTTTATAACCCGAACGAAAATGTTCACAAGCTTAGAAGTTTGTTTAAGAGCGGCCATACCAACTTCTAACATCATTTCTCGGGTTACATACCAGTCTTACTGGTCTCCACGATGGCTGAATACAGAGATGTGGTATTCCTTTGGTTTGCCATTATTGGCCTGGATTGCCCCTTTTTTATTTTGTATTGTTTCATTCACTATATTTTACACTGTTCTTAGATATCTATATTTAACATTTTACTAGTCCACCTTTGATTGATAACAGTATATACAACAAAGGGGAAAAAAATTAAGTAGAAAAAAGGTGAAAAAATATAATGCTCTTTACCTTTTCCTTTCAAATAGTTAATTCTCTTAAATATTTTTCCCTTCCTTTTGAAGTTTAATGTAATGAATGATTATGATTATAGTAGTGAACTTAAAAATATATATGATCTCATTAACTTCTTAGATTTAGAGACAGTGATAACAAACAGTTGTACTTATACATAAATAGACAGGTTATATAAATATACATAGATAAACCGTATTCATTGTGACAAATGTAGAAAAAGTATGAATGAGAATATTTCGGATGAAGATATATTCGAAACTGGTCTTGAATTGTGAAGATAATCATTCGCATTCATGCCTTTGCCATTTAGAGAGAGTTATACATGGTGTGTGAGTATACAATATGCATGTACTGCACATTAAGACTAAATAAAACTACCAGCTCATACTGAATTTACAATTATATCAGTAGATACTTCGGAGGTAGTTCAGATTTGTGGAAGTGTTCTTTTGGGGCGGAATTACTCTTTGTTGTCTCAATAAGTTCTAGGGAAGTATATATTCCGAATGGAGCTATGTCGGAATATAGTAAATCCACTCATTCTGTATCTCTCTCTCTCTCTATCTATCTATCTATCTATCTATCTATCTATCTATCTATCTATCTATCTATCTATCTATCTATCTATCTATATATCTAATGATGATGATGATTATTTATAATAATAATAATCTTAATATAGTAATGTTAATACTAATGACAGTGATAATAATAATGATGATGATAATAATAATAATAATAATAATAATAATGATAATAATAATAATAATAATAATAATAATAATAATAATAATAATAATGATAAGAATAATAGTGATAATAATGATAATAAGAATGATATAAAATATAATTATGAGAAGCAGAAAAAATAGTAATAGTAATAGTCTACCGCTTATGAAAGGGGGTCTAGCTTATCGGTGACGATTATAACAAGAAAGGAAAAAATAAAAATAAATAGATAGATAGATAGATAAATAGATAGACAGATTGATAGAGGTACACATACATACATGCGTTGCATCACTGTTTCAACTACGATTGATTTTTTTTATTATCATTACTCCTATTTATACCAAAATTACATATTTATTAGTAGCGACATAAGCTGCTAGATACGATAGTTTCTTTTCTTTGATAAAATGATATCGGAATATGCTTAGATTTTATTTCTTCTGTGTGCGTGTGTGTTGTACCAATGCTTATAGAGAAGAGAGAAGGAGGAAAGTGAGAAAAAATATAAAAAAAGAAGAGAGAGAGTTGAAAAGGAGGCCCAGGAGTTTTTATAATGCACACATGGTGTATGCTAATGTCAGACTGCCCTGAAAAGGTAAAGAATAAAGGAGAACCGAGAGATAGATCACCTTTGCTTATCACAGAAAAATGTTGAGGCGAGAGAACTGGAAATGGCCGATAGGGAGAGAAAAATAAGAACGATAATGCATAAATGATAAACAATGATGCTGATATTTGTAACTTATAAAAATAAAACCGCAAACGAAAACAGGATATAGTTTAAAGGTAGAACGCTAATAATGATAATAAAAATTATATTTATACTGGTACTTGTGGTCAGAATGATAATAATGATAAATGACGCGGAATTTAAACAAACAGATTATTCATTCATTGATATTATCTTGCAATTGTTATTTGTGTTATTCTTTTCATTCTAAAAATGACATGCGAAATTTTGATAATTTCTTGTCTACTTTCTTGGATTTACAAGAATTTCAAAATAAAGACTAATAACCGTTTTCGTCAGTTACTATTAATATACTTTTAAATTTGGTTGATTAAGAAAAAAGTAATTCTTTACAGGGGACCAACTGATACTAAGGAATTTAATGTGTTTAGGAAAGCTTTATGAGTTAGCGTTATTTATTCACACTTCAGTTTCTCTTCTGTATTGCAATTTTCACTGAAATTTATAGTATGTAGATATCTTATAAGGGAAGTCATCAGGGAAAATATTCATATACACTGCTTAAAATAGATAACATAGTCCTGGATTATTATTAAAATAAATGTCTGAATTATAGTAGACCAAATTTATTTTCATTGTTCGCTTTAAATCTAAATATGAATGACAAATCATGAAACACTGCGTACATATGGGAGCTAGAATAACTATAGGAAAGGTTATATTTATACATTTAATAATCACCATCATTATTATCTTTTATTGCAGATATATCTTTATACAGGTAATGAAATACGGGGTTGGAAACAAACTAAACACAAAAGGACTCGGAGAATGAACCCGGATCCCCCTGTCATGTTTTCCTCATTGAACTATTAAATTTCTTTTATGCTTGAACTTGCAGTCATAAATGGTATTACAATTGAAAGCCGGACAATTATACTAACCCCATAATTGCAATACAACCTACACAACAGTGATTCTATTCGACAGTGCCCACGCCCTTTCAAGATCATACACGGTACTAAGTAATTTGTAAATCTGCATAATAGGTGAGCCATATGTACTATACAGCTACTTGGGGAGAAGAGAATAGGAGAGGATGAAGAGAAAGATCATCATGCAATCAATTAAATTATGAAAAATAATACAAATATCACTGCAAATTATTATGCTTTATTACTTTTCAGAATTTATATCGCTGTTAGTGTGATCATAAGCACTAGTACTTTTTTTTCTTTATTGTATTATTACTATTATTGCAATATCATTATCATTTTACTATGGTGTTATTAGTATTATCATTCCTGTCGCCATTACTGTTATTCGATTATTAGCTTGCCATTATTATGACCTTACATTCTTACCTTCCCATCTCCTTTCGTCTCCCTCATCCTTATATCTTTCCTTTCTAAAAACAGGGATATAACTACATAAACATGCAGTCGCGTTTGCGCTTTCTCTAGTTGAGACTTGAATCGTTTATCAAGTAACATTATGTCATCATGGTACAGTTCAGCAGAAACACAGACTCAAATTTAAACTTGATTCGGAAAAAGTTTTATATCATGCTACTTGTAAACCCGAATAGCATCACTATTGATATTACAGAAACAGTAAAATAAATGCCTTGTAGGTGGGAGGGGGGGGCAGGGTTCAATCCCCAAGTCCTTTTGTATTTTGTGTCCTTTGTCAGTAATTTAAATATTATTGTGAATTACGATGATAATGAAAACAAGATAATAATCAACGGTAATTCAAATGATAATGATATACTTCTGCATTGACTTACAAATTACCTTGGTCAAATCTTATATATAACTATGATTTTGGTTCTCCCTTCTGTTTTCACTTTATACTTATATATTTTTTACTTTATTGGGTACGTAGATCCCGAAGGCGGGAAGTCATCTTGAAAAATTATTCATATACCCTTTAAAATTTATTACTCTACTCTTTAGGTCAATCTACAATTTTTTTTCTCCCTGTTACATAAATTGTGCACTTTTCAGTATTTAACTTCAAGATTTTATTATAAAATATATGTTTTACTGAGATATAAGCATAGAAAAGCTGAATATGCTGTTGAGAGGTTGTAAATTATACAGTCAAAAAAAAGAGTCCCAATTGACTAGAAATAAAATACTAAACTAACTGGAATAACAATAATGACAGTCAATCTTTCTAAGCGATGAACTGTTGTGAAAGGATTTTAATGCAATCTCTACTCGCATACAAGTAACATGAATTACACTTAGTGTAACGAGCACAAGGGATGTGAACTTAGAATGACCCAAAATTCGTCTAGAAACCACCCTGTGTATACTTCACTTAGTCTTTATGCATATGTATTATTTAGGTATACCTCAGTTTTTAGCTTTAACTATGTGAGAAAAAGGTACTTAATTATTTTTCTAGAAAGATTATATTTTATTTTAATAGTTTTACATGAAATTCTATATATTTCTATATTATATTTTTCTAAGATAAGAAAATTGTAAAATATGATAGTTTACCCTACAAAGTTTAAGCTTTTTTTGTTACCCCCACCGTACATTTTCTTTATTTAAAGGGTACGCTATTATATTTCAATAGTATTATTATATTAAGGTTGTATAATTGATAATTTTGTAAAGAAAACAATATATATTATTTTTTGTTAACGGAAAGATTCATTTAAGTTCTGAAAATTATGCATGAATAGAATAAGAAGAAGTGTATAAGTGTAATATATGTGATCTGAGTAGACTTTAAAATTCAAGGTATATACAGTGCTCTATCCTGAAACTATAGAGAGAGGAATACCATACAACAGCCTGAAAGTGCATTTGATTATCATGAAATATCCGAGGTAAGAAAGAACATTCCACTATAATTATATAATTAATAAAGTCATAAACTACTGTACAATTGATTTACAGAACAAAAGGAAGTAACTATTTGAGATTAAACTGAAAATTAGAGATAAAGAGTATGTCTTCTTCACAGCTCGAGGCTGGCACACGGCACTTGAGCAACATTCGATGTGTCACTCTTATTATTAAGAATTTAAAACCCATTCAAAGAGTAAGTGTCCTTAGCATTTATAATTGTATAATATTACAATGATGTTTAATCAAATTTTAAGATAATATATAATTACTCATATCGTATATAATGACATAAATATTACATAAAATTTGTTGGTTTGTCAGAAATATTGTTTTTGATCTTTCAAGAGATTATTTACTTCTATTTAATAACTTTATATTGTTTATCATTCCTAAACTAGAATAATTGTTTCTTTTCGAGGAATGGGTTTTGTTTTATTTTTTTTATGGTTTATTTGGTTCTGCTGAAGTTGTGATTTATTCGTCCCTGGTGCTGTGAACAAGAATGAAAGAGCCCAGGATATTGATGAAGACAAGGAAAGAAGATACCTGAGAAGAACAAATAGTGTAAAAGTGACAGGGTGGGATATAAATACTTAGATATTTTTGTAGATGAAAGTTTATTCAACTGTAGATGTGTAATGATCTTTGACTCAATATATCAACAACAATTGTAAGCTCATTAAGTGGTTTTATATTACCCCTTCTCTCAGTTACCTCTAAGGCTGAAGTTAGATCATAAGTAACCTTAATGAATATTATTTATATTTTTTAGTGTGGGTTCTAATGAAAACTTATGGAGAAACCACACATTTGTATTAACAGATAGTACCCCTCTAGATAGTTTGAGTGGTTCCCAGAGCAAAGAGAAGTAATAAGGTCTTTGCTAAGGAGCATAGAAAAGGGAGGGCGCTATATTAGTAGCATGAATTACATTAAAATAATTTGTATAAGCTTCCTCCAACTGCTTACATGGAATAGTAGTACTGAGTGTTAATATGGAATATTTATTCAAGCTACTGATGTAAGATATCCAGAGCCAGGCCATTATAGCACGATAATAATTGTAGTGTTATTGAAACAATTTGATTTTTATGACAAATTATGGAATCTTAACATTGTCTTTTTTCATTATTGGGAATCTCATATACGCTTATTAACTTATATAGCCTGCTTATAGATCCAAAGCGTCTGTGTATAATATATTCATCTGTTTTTATAATAGATAAAGATGAGATATTGAAGTCGTGATGTCATATTTTGGAAGTGACGCTTCTTGTAACTATATTTCGCCCACCTCTTTTCTCATATGCAAAGTCGCTATTTCACCTAATTTTGGGAACCACAACATTATCTACAAATGTTATTTATTAGGAACCTACACTATTTAAAATAATAGAGATTACTTTGATCTAACTAAAGCTTCAGAGGTAACTGAGAACGGTAACAATTAAATGTACTTGAGATATTTCCTGATATATTAGGTTATAAATCATCATATTTTCACAATAATATCCACATCCATCTACAAACTCTCCAAGTTCAACACCGTATATATTTCAAAATTAAACTTTTACTCAAATCACATATATTACAAGGAAAGAGTTCTTCATAATACATACATGCAGAAATCCAAATATTATCTAAATCTTTCCAGTAGCAAAAATAATACTCACTTGTTTCTTCACTAAAACATCAATTATACATCCTTGATATAATAAATTACCAGTGAAATATAATAGAGTATCCTTTATTCAACAAAGGAGAAAAAAAGTAACTTTGTAGAGTAAACTACCATATTTTATCCTAATTTATCTATTTCCTAAATGTTAGTGTAATAAGATATACATATATAAAACTTTGTACAAAAATAATAAAATAAAGTATCATATTTCCGAGAACAAACTTAAGTACGACTATATCATACATAGCTAAAGACAAATATCAAAATAGATTAAAACTGAGGTATACATAAGTAGCAACATATGCAGAATGACTTAAGTAAGTGAGGTATACGAAGGGTGGGTTTATAGACGAAATTGTGTGCTCTTTACAAATTAATCTTATTTTTTTTTTTTTTTTTTTTTCGTACTCTGACCTAAATATTTTTGTGTACTTCGAAAAGATTAAAATGATTAAGTTACCCCTAAAATTAAGAGTTCATATTTTCTATATTTTTGCATTTAAGAAAACGTATCAAAGGGAATCTCCTGTAAATTCAGAGTAAAATCCAGTTTTACGGTAAATATTATCACGTCATGACCAGGAGCGCGTGACATCCATTAGAAAGTTGTTGTTTTTTATCATTTTTGTAAATAGACGTTTATAAAAGCTCTCAGGCACCAATGAGTCGATTTGTAGGCCCCTTTCTTGAGCCTTCTAATGCTATTGTTATCGATATTGTTATTGCTATTATTGGCAATGCGGTTATAATATTGTTGACATGATAATAGCAATGAACAAAAATAAAGAATATTTCCGAAAGTTTCAGGGAAAAGGAAAAACATATGAGATAGGTAGTACTTGATTTTTCACACATACAGTAATGCGTGTGTGTATGTGTATGTGTGTGTGCGTGTGCCTGTGCCTGTGTGCGTGTGTGTGTGCGTGTGTGTGTCCGTGCGCGTGTGCATGCGTGTGTTCATTTGCTTGTGTGCATGTGTGTGCGTGCGTGTGCGTGTGTGTATGGAGATATATACATATATATACACACTTCGTTGTTCTACTTGCCATTATTTTACATAAATTCCTCAGGTGTGTATACATATATCTATATCCATCTGTCTACGCACACATGTATATATATGTGTGTGTGTGTGTGTGTGTGTGTGTGTGTGTGTGTGTGTGTGTGTGTGTGTGTGTGTGTGTGTGTGTGTGTGTGTGTGTGTACATATAGATGAGGTGTGTAAACGTTGGGCTATAAATGTGTATTATAAAGACATGCTCACCCTTGGTTATTTTCCACAAGCATTAATGCGGATGAACTACAACATACTAGAAACCCAGTTACGTAAGATCTCATGACCATGTTACCAGTTCTCATTCATGGCCTTTTTTTTTCTTTTTTCTTTCTTTCTTTCTTTCTTTCTTTCTTTCTTTCTCTCTCTCTCTCTCTCTCTCTCTCTCTCTCTCTCTCTCTCTCTCTCTCTCTCTCTCTCTCTCTCTCTCTCTCTCTCTCTCTCTCTCTCCCAATATACAATATTTTCAGTGGAACTTCGGGAATGTGTATGAACGTAGTAGGGGTCCCCGTACAATTAACGAGGAATGTAAATGGCGACAATTAAAATCCGAATTTTGTAACTTGTGAAATGATATATTTGCAGATGATAAGTCTTGCACCACACTACAACGTTCCATTTCTTTACATACGCTATCTCTACTCACCTCCCCCCCTCCCCCCCTCTCTCTCTCTCTCTCTCTCTCTCTCTCTCTCTCTCTCTCTCTCTCTCTCTCTCTCTCTCTCTCTCTCTCTCTCCAGATCTGGTTGATCTGTTATGATTAACATACCTAAATATTTTACTACTCCTTTGTGGGAACAGACTGCCATAAAACGATGAATAAATAACACTTGTGAGTCACCTATCACTAGAACACCTGAGGGATCGCCAGCCATTGAGTGAAGTAAATATCGGATCAACTCAACGAGGGCAATAAATAAATAAATAAAATAAAAAAAAGAGAGAGATTTCCTCGCCAGAAGAAACATGAAGGGGATCCTAATCTGAGTTCTTAATCGAGCTTTGCTTCTTTCAGATTATATGCCCATTTCCATAATTATCATCCGCCGAATTGTCTTTTCTTTTGCTACTCTTAATATCTTCTTGACTTTACTTGTGTTAGAATATGTTCTTTATCCTTGTTTATTCTTGCTACTCATGGCAGACTGTGTAGTTTACTTTTGCTATTCGTTGAAGAATACGTTCTTTACTTATTTAATAACATGTTCTTCACTCTTGTTACTCATGATAAAATAAGTTCCTAACAACAGAACAGGTTCTTTACTATTGCTACTTTATCGAATACGTTCTTTGCTTTTACTACTCATGATATTATACATTCTTATCTCATGCTACTCATGATCAAATGTGTTCTTCACTTTTGTTACTTATGATAGAAGACGCTTGTCTTGCTACTTAGTATAGACCTTGTTCGTAATTTTCGTAATCTTATTACTCAAGACACATTACGTTCCTTCATATTTTTACTCTTGATAATTTCTTTACATTTACTACACATGATACTATCCTTTCATAACCTTGATGCTCACCATCGTAATTTTTTTTTATTGCTACTCATGACGAAATACGCTCTTTACTCTTGGTATTCAAAATAGATAATGTAGATAGACCTTATCTTTATTTCTAGCCAGAAGTTGAGGAAGGAATTGTAGAATAAATATGATCTTTATTCTCTAACATGACAGCGAAGAGTTTTGTTTTGCGTAACAAAAAATAAAAGCTTTAAGTTACAACAAACAATCGTACGTGAAGGTGCGTGGATACAAATGACAATGGATATTTATAAGGGTATGTCTAAATAATATATATATATATATATATATATATATATATATATATATATATATATATATATATATATATAATGTATATATATAATCTGAGTGATTATGAAATAATACACACTTTAAAGTGCAGAGTGGTACTTGGAGTAACAGTTAGTGCTCCATAAGATTAAGAACAAATGAGATCAGGATGTTAAATGTGGAAAGGTCAAGGTTGTCTACGTATATGCAGACGCTCTCATTTTCACACGTATCGAATAACTACTGATGAAAGCAAATACTCGTACGTTTCTAATATTCTAAATTATCCTGGTGACTGTCTCAATCACTTCTCTCTTCTCAAATGATTTTTTTAACAAATTAAAACAGTTTTATAAAAGTTTACTGCATCATGTTTTCTTG